AGTGATAAGTTACTAAAATTGTTTATTGTTTATACTTGTGATGAAGGGAGAAGTCACTTCTTTATATATTTCTTTTCTTTTTCTTTACTATATTCTTATTTTTTTCTTTTCTATTTCTCTTTCTATTTTTTCTCTTTTTCTTTTCTGCACCTTTTATGTTTTATTCTTTTTTAGTTTGTATTAGTTTTGTTGTAATTGTAATCTTTAATAAAATTACTGTATAAAAATATAATTTTCTAATTGAATTTGGAGTTATATGCAGGTCTGTTTTGATTCTTCTGTTTAATGAACTTACTAAGTTTTGCCGCACTTTCTATAGTGAAGCTCAAATATTATGAAGCATCACAAGATATTAGTAACAAAAATGGCATCTAATTACTATTTGTATTAATCTTTGCAACTATCTTTTAAAATGTAAATGCATTTTTCCACAAAGAATTCAGTTACCACGGCAATAAAGGCAAAAGCTAACTCTAGTCGATTTCTTTTTCCATAAGAGCAACCCTTACATATAAGAATCGTTTCTCTGTTAGAAACTGCTGTGTGAAAGATGTAATATATTACCCACAGAAATGTACATTGCAAAACAAGTTTAACAACTTAAAAGTAAAGCATAATTTGTTGTTGCTCCTTTCCTGAGCAGCCAGAAATGTAGCACCACCCTTTACAGGTTCAGTTTCTATTGGGACACAGAACAAATACTGGATATTTAAGCTGCCTTTGTGATAACCTGCAACAGTATGACTGGAACACAAAGCAAAAAAACTACAATGAATCTCAAAGAAAGTTCAATATTCACCAGCATCCAGGAATCCACCGGCCACTTTGCAAGCCACCAGAGTTTATCTATCCTTTACTTCCCTGCTTATTAATCCCTCTTAATTGTGAAGTTCCGGCCTGCTTTCTGGTTCAGAGGACCCTAACACAAATTTCAGTTGTTGGGAAACAACAGCAGGCTATTGCCCTTTTGTTTTGCTTATGGGTGATGGATCCCCATGACAAAAGAAATGTTGCACTAGACAGGTCTTGGTCTGATCCAAGTAGATAAGGCTGTTTTCCCATCACATTTGACCTTCTAATCTACCTTCCAACTCCTACTGCTTAATTTTTTTTCCTTCATAAGCCTTGTGTGAAACTCTCTCTCACCAAATTGGCTTTGCTGCTTCTCTCAGACCAACCACATTGTCTAGCTATTTACATGGGTGCTCCTTTTCCTTCCATATATAGGGAGGATTAGGAACAAGCCAAGACTTTACTGCCAAGGCGCACATAGCTTTCATGCCCTGTTAGAGTCTCTCTAGGGTATTTTTATAAATAAACATTCCTAGAGTAACACGGACTCCAGCTTACTTCACCAATTTGTGCAACTAAAAGAAAAAAGTTGGGGTTTCCACATTGGAGATCAAACATTTTGCACAATCTGTACAGTCAATCCTCTGTCTTCTCATATTACACAGTAAATCCTATCATTCATAAACAAATGAAGATGGCTTACTGGAATATAAGCAGCAAATAATCTACTGTCCCATCAACACAAGCTATGACACTGTGTGAACACACCCAGCTTTGATTCATTTACGCACATGTAGGCACACACCTGCCCCAAAGCGTTCACAATCCAAAGTAGCTGCTCACAGGAAGGCAAGAAAGAGAGAATTGGGATCAGCTGACTCATTCTGGGGAGGGTTTAAAACCAGTAGCATTGGTGCTAAGCTGGGATCACTGAAATAGGGCATACGAGGGCTAGAAAATCTGAAAACAGGCTATCTTTACATCTATCACTCCAAAGAGGGGGGCTAATTGTACTAAGATTGTACTAACGTGAGATTATGTTACATTAGGTCAATAAGCCTATGTATTAGTTTTTGGCTTAACAACTATGGTTTTATTTTTCCAAAGACAGCATACCAACAATCCTAACACCTCTCTACTTGTTATAACATCAGATTAATATGTGATTAAAATACTGGATTAGGACTCGGAAGACCCAAATTCAAGTCCTCCCACAGGATTAGAAGCTCCCAGGTGATTCTGGGCCAGTCACTCTCTCCCAGGTCAATCTATTTTACGTGGGCTTCAGTGTAAGGGTAAAATAGAAGAGTCTGTATATACTGCATTTAGCTCCTAGAGGAAAGGCAGGGTATAAATTTAATAAACAAAGCAATTTTCTCTCTGCAGATTACAACTTCATCCCATTTAAGAAAGTGACTGACTTCAATGCCAAACCCGCTTTTCCATTGTTTGTTTTTCTTTAGCCAAGATGCTTTAAAAATTAAATTATTTTTGCAACCTTTACATTAACCTATTAAAGAAATTGCCTTAATATGAATTTCAGTTATTTCATAATGTGTTACCTAGGTAGTTGAAATCTCATAAGAATTTACCATATAGATAGGAGCATACATTTTCAAACAACTGAAGTCATTAGAGTCCCATCTCAAGAGTCCCTCACCCATAGAACTATTTGAAATATCATTTGATGTGAGGGTTCTGTAGGACAATTATATGAGATTTACATTCAGATACAACAGCCTAGTGAAATTCATGGCATATCATACATGTACATACATACATACATAAATACACAGCATATCATACATGTACATACAGGTAGCCTTTGGAATTCTAACCTTTTCTGGAAGCCTCAAGCTACTCACAGAATAATAGCAAATGCAGAGGAGCCCAAAACAATTATCACAGGAAAAAGCACCATTATGTTTTATAAAGGAAACATTAATTTTAACATAGTCATACACTGAAATGAACCTTCATTCTAAAACATTGTATTCTTAAATATCAGTCTTCATGCTATTTGTCTTCTACTCATCTATTATTGTCTGAATAGAGGTAAGCATTACAGGTGACAAAAGGATTCCAAGACCCACCCACAAAAATACTGAGATCCCATGGTGACTCCTAGCTTGCAAGACACACTTAACCATAGTTAAACTCAATTACTCAATTTTCTGGCTTTCAAGTCTCATTGGTCTTTAAGCTAACTACATGGGCTGGGTTCACACAAGTCAGTAGCCTTGCACATAAGTGGATATAAGTGGCCAGTGTGTGCTTCAGTGGGTTGTGCAAACACAGCCTTTGAGAAACAAGAAAGATACCATCTATAAATTACCTCCTCTGAAGATCACTCAGCATACTGTCTGAAGAAGGGGTTCTTATAAGGACCACCTAAAGAGGAGGTCCTGTAAAACTATTACCAGAATGGGAGAGTCGAAACTATTGGCCCAGCTATGTGGCAGCTCCTCTCTGACCTTGGCTGATCTTGAAATACCTAAACCGGATCAGCCCTGTTTAGTTTTTTGATAGGTGACACACAAGAAAATACTAGGTCTGTAGACTAGACTGAGATAAACATCTCAGAAAGCAATGGCCACTGAGGGTTATGAACACTGCATGGATGCATCCATAAGGCCACCCAACTCAAGAGAGACTTTATCTTTTTACCCATATTATCCTTCCTTCCTTCCCATGTTATCAGTAGCATCTTAGAACAGAACGACAGAAAAAGGAGAGCAGAGTTTAGAACGGCTTTGGAGAAAAATACCCTAAGCAAGACTTGCCAGCACCTGGGAATGGAATTCATATTACCTGCCCGAATTTCAGGAAAGTACATAATGGTGTTCCGGGTCTTCTGCTTATTCCACTCAGATTTGCCCAGTTTTCAGATGCTTCTCCTCACCCCTCCTCTTCACGTTTTCCTCATGCCACTCCTTAGTGTTTTCAGAAGGCATTCCTCAAACATTCAAGACCCAGCCCAGCATTCTACAATGCTCCGAAATACCTTCTGCCACAGGCCACTCTTACCTATCTGAAGTCATTTACTGTATCTGAAAGAAAGCAGGATCTTCACCGCGTTTCCTGCAATCAGCGGGAAAGCGCTGGCCGGAAGCACGCAGGTCAGCGTTACATAAAACCCACCTCGCATTGGTTAGACTGCTAATGCCAACTTCTCCGCGCTCTTCTCCCCTTCCTTCCCTCCCCCTCCCCACTTTTTGAGGAAAATCAGCCAATGGATGACGCCGGGGAAAGAGCCCCCGAGAGAGCAAGTCTTGCGCGGAAGCGATGGCAATGCTTTGGATCCTTTGCAAACTGCTGTTAAGATGTAATTTTAAGTGCAACGACAAAAGCAGTACATAAGGGCAGTAAGCAAACAGATAATAACCACACCACTAAATGATTCGGATTAAACCCCTATAAAAAGGAATTTACCCTATTCGCGATGAACCTACAAAGAGAAAAGGCTACGCTTGCGCAGAGTCTCGGCCTCTTACCTACCCCTTCTCTCCTCCCAAGCCAAAGCGAGGCGCGTGCGCACTGCTGCCAATTGGACGGGCGGCGGAGGAAGGCCGGGGACGCCAGCGGCCAATCCGTGGCGAGGGGGCGTGGCTTGCGCCCATTGTGAGGACTGAGGCGAGGGAGGGCGGAGCTCTGCTGGCCTCGGTGAAGCGGCGGGAGCCATTCGTGGCCCGGTGGGGCGAGGAGCCGGACAGCGAGCGGGAAGGGCGTGCCCGACCGAGGCCCGCCGCGGCTGGTGTGCGCTCTGGGGGCGGTGGCAGGATCCGAGGCCCAGCCCTTCGAGAGACAACATGGTGTCGTGCATCATTTCCCGAGTCGTCGTGTAAGTAGGGGGAGGAGGTGGGCGCCGGTGGCAGCGCCCGCTTTGGGCCGATCTCGCGAGGGGAAGGAGGGGCGCCGAGCCTCGTCCTTCCGGGCCGCTTCCCGTCGGCGACTCCGCCAGAACGGCTCTCGGGGCTTCTCGGGAAAGTGAGGACGCCGGCGGCCACTCCCAAGCACCCCTCCCTGGGCGAGGAGCGCCGGTGGCAAGGATGTCCGGAGCCTCTGCTTGGCTGCTGCTCCCGGTGGCGTCTGAGGCGGTGCCCGTCGGGGTGGATGGATGCAGAGAGGGAGGCCCCTTGTGCCGTGGACGGGCCTCCTTGCGCAAAGCCGCCTCGAGTGAGGCCCCCGCGGTCATTTCTGAGCAACGGTGCACCGTGGGGCCTGCCGTTGCCGCCTTTTGGCCGACCATTCTACCCATTGGGATAATGGTTAACATGTTAAAACAGGAGGTGGTGGGTTCTATGCCTGGCTTGGGCATGAAAGCCAGCTGGGTGAGCTTGGGCCTGTCACTCTCTCTCAGCCCAGCCCACCTCGCAGGATTGTTGTGGGGAGAAAAAAGAGGCGGGAGCATTATGTACGCTGCCCTGAATTGTACAGAATTAAGGCAATATATAAATAATAATATTCTACAGCTGGATTTCCTGGTGGCCGCCCATCCAAGCCCTAACCAGTTCTAGCCCCATTTAGCTTTTTTGAGATGAGCCAAGGTCAGCTAGCTGTTGTTATTCTTCCTTTTGCTTTAAACTAAATACTGTGTTTTTATAGGTCTTTACTACAACTAGCTGTTAGGGAACACTTGGAGTATGGGTAACTTAACGTCTAGACCAGGCCTGTATAACCTGTAGAGGGGAAAGGGCCACGCTGATAAATTAAAAATCATCGTGGGCTTCAAAGGAATTCCTGGCGCATTGACCAGCTCTTTGTTGGCTAGCATAGTGGTGGCAGAACCAGATCTGGCGGTGGGCAATGAGGTTTGGAGGTGCTCAGAAGCGCATATGTGGGGGGGGGGGCAGGACAGCAAATGTAGTTACTTTTTAAAAAAACGGTGGTGGGCCACACAAGGCTCTTTGGCAGGCCCCGTGCTGTGCAGACCTGGTCTACACTATATTGTTGAAAACAGATTTTAGGCTGAGCATAAGCTGTAAATCCTATTAGTATGTGCTAGTGAGAATGTGAAAATAGGAGCATAGGCTTGAATTCATAAGGATGCTTATGATGGCAGTAATTACATAGATCCACAGATTTATGAAAACTATTTATTAGCATGAAAATGATGGGGATGTTAAGGACTTGGTAATAGCTGGTCTTGATCCTTTGAATCTTCAATGTTTTTTCTATTATCTTAACTTGTATACATATTCAAAATATATAAAAATGGATGGTAATTAACTATCACAACTGAAAAATCATTTTCTAATTATATTGCTATTCCCTAGTGAATCTTGCAATATCTGAAGTAATAATATGACAGCCTCTGAAATTTATTTTGTGATTTTAAAAACTGATGCACCCAGAAATTGAAACACTGTGCAAACTAAACTGTGGCTTTAATTCTTGGTATTGAATTCTGATATTAAAACTATCATCACTTAAATGGTGAATACATAGTCTAGCAACCCTGGCACTCTGATTGGCTGTTGCATTTATTCTGTGCTTACTGCAGAGAAACCAGGTCCTTTAAAGTGTTTGTGTTCTTATATATGCAATTTTACACTACAGCAGCATTAAAAAGAATCAGGTATTATTTTCTGCTAATTGCAAAAGTTGTGTGGTTCATGTGAAAGGAACTTACACTTGAAATGAGGAAGCTTCCTCTATTTAAAACAAGGCATTTTGAGCATTGGTGTTATATGAGCAAGTAATTAAATGGTATGTTTCTGTTCCTTGAAAGAATATACTCAAGTAATAGGCATGTGTTAGACATTTGGAATTGTGTAGTGATGAATGCAAGGTAGAAATTCTAGAGCTGTCCAAAGGGTGGTAATTTTATCATTTTAAAAGGCTTTTGAATTGGCACTGTAGTACTAAATTTTATGGATATTGGAGACAGCAGTTTGACGGAAGTAGAGGTACTGGCGCAAAGCCAGCTGGGTGACCTTGGGCCAGTCACTCTCTCAGCCCCAGGAAGAAGGCAATGGTAAACCACTTCCAAAAGTCTTGCCAAGAAAACTGGCAGTCGCCAGGAGTCAAAAACTGACTCAAAGGTACCCAAAGAGAGAGAGAGAGAGAGAGAGTCATCCATTAGCAATGTGTCAAAGAAATAATCTTTTTAAACCTGGTATGTAGATGTCTTTTGGGGGTCTCTTCCAATTCTTGATTCTGTAAAATGATAGTCTTAATGTTATGTCTTACTAATGTATATACACACAAGTTTATACATTGCAACATATTTATAAGTCAATAAAAAACATTACCAGCACATCTTTACTTATGATAGATATGACAAACTGACCAAGGCAAGCCACTGTCCCCTTGTTTGATTAGCTTAATTGTGCATTTGATGTAGCTACCTAAAAGGAAGCAAATTATTATATTACTCTATTGCTCTTACATAGTGTTTTTACTTTATACTTTAATTGGGTTTTGTGTTAAGATGCTGTAAATTTAGTAGGATGATTATTTAAATTTATATACAGTTAATGACTTGTAGTATCTTAAGCAGCAACCAGGTCATATCTGTAATACTGAGTTTCTATTGGGTTTTCTGTAAGCCTCCTAGCACACAGGAAGAATTAATATTGGTAAATAAAGGCAATTAGTTACAGCAGCATGCTAAAGTTTAGGCATCCCTGGGCAAATAGTAGATTTCAGTGAATCCCTGAGTGAACACAAACTACCTCTACATCCTGCAAAGTTAAGCACTGTACATTTCTGCAAATTGTTTACAGATTCAAATTAATATGATGTATACAGAAATTTGGACACTTTTCCAGTTTGGAACTAAGGCCCCAAAAGGTTTTTGATTTAGCCTACTGGTGATAGCAGTTCAACAAGTAAACAAATACTCTGACCCTTCTAACATCTCAGTTTATTGTTGTTTTGTCTGATTTAATAATCATGGATTACTCAAAAAAGCTCTCTGAGCATTTGAAAATAAAAATTGTTTCACTCTTAAAAACCAGGAAGAGGAATGAAAAACATCTCTAAATATTTCCAGTTAAGAATTTCAGTTGGGAGAAACTCTGTTAAGAAATGGAAATTAAATGGAACTATTGAAAAGGTGATACCTGGAAGACCAAGAAAAATCTTGATTAGTTCTGGTCAGATCTGCAAAACAGAACCCACAGATCATAACCCAAACCACAACCTGCTGAAAGTTCAGCTGACACTGGAGTAATTGTCCACAGGTCCACAGTACAGCATTGTTTACACAACAGTGATCGACATGGGAGCCTTGTTTGAAGGAAATCTTTTCTCCAACTTTCTCACAAAAGTCTAAACTATGCAAAAGAAAACCCTGATAAGCCTGAAACATTTTGAAATAAAGTACTTTGGTCTGATAAAACCAAAATTGAACTGTTTGTTCATATTTTTTTTCTCCAAAGATACATTTGGAGAAAAAAAGAATAAAGTACAAGCATTAAGCTCAGAGTCCCAAATCTGTATAAAGGAAGAGGATTGGCCCCCTGTCAAGAGACTAAAATGAGACATGAATCTATGGGGAAAGGACAATTAAGATATGGAAATGGTATTATATTTGGGGCAACAGTTGCACCAGATTGGCAAATAACCGTATCCAGGCTACTGTGAAAAGTTTGAGACTGGCCAAAGAATCAATTAGAGAACAAAGCATACATTCTTTATGCCAAAATTGGACATCTAAATAGCCATTTAGAATATATGCACTGGACACTATGTCAGTTAAAAGGAAACTATTGTCGAAGAATGACCACATTACAAAATGTCACTAGCAGTGCTGTCTGAACGGTGACTAACTGGATCAGGGACCAAAACCATTCAAGAACCAGACAGCAATGAAGGAATAACATTGCTTTACTCTGGTGATGAAAATGCACAGAGAGCATCAGCTTAGCCTTCGAGTGCAGAGCAGCCAAAAATGTGCTGGCATTTGACAGTTGCAGGGGCAATTCAAACCACATATTCTCCATTTGTGCCCCTACTGAAATTAGCCCAGGTGATGTCAAAGATGATATTTATACCCATCAAAATGCTTTCAGTTGTATACCCAGATGGGATTTAATCATAATAGCTGGTGACTTCAGTGCCCATATGGGAGCAGCTAGGATAAGCTGGGAAGGAACCCTTGGAAAATTTAGACTGGGTGAAGCAAATGAAAATGGTGTCAGATGTTATAATTTGTAGCAGTCAGTGACTTATTAGTGGGAAGCAGCCTTTTTTTTTTTTTTACTGTTCCTGAAAGCATCAGTTCATGGTGGGGGTGGGGGGGCAATTAGCAAGGATACATCGATCCTGGGCTACATTCTAGTCAACACCCACTTCCAGTCTATCAAATATGTATGTGCAATGTGAGGTGCTGATTATGCAAAAATTCAACTTAAGTTCCAACATGTACAACATCAGACAGTTTCATCAATAAACTGGTCAAAACTGGCTGAACTAGTACGGAAAAAACCCAAGTCTCTTATGATGTCTATGACAGTGCCAAAAGCCTGTGTCCGAACACAAGTATGGATTTCAGATGAGTGCCTAGACTTGGTTGACTAATGCAAATAACAAGTGTTTTGTTTTGTTTTTTGTTTTTTACAATGCACAGTTGGCTTGACTGTGAAGTTTGACATTAACTAAAAGCAGAGTGTTAAGGGACATTCTGACCCTGGAACTGGAAGTGGTTGCACAAAAACACAAGTACCATACATTCTTCACCACTCTTAGACATATAAGTAGAACTAAATCAACAAATGATAATACATATAAGGCTGAGGGGACACTTGTATAATCTTCAAATGAGTGGCTTTAGAGATGGGAGACGTTTTCAAGAAACTATACCACTGTGAAAAGTTGCAGGGACCACTAGCACAT